GGTCGAGGTGTCAATAAACTGGTCTCTTTGGATGCAGAGAGGAAAGCTGCCCCAAGGAGGTCATGACCGAGGGGTTTTTCCCCTTTCTTGTGGAAAAAAGTGTTTCCGGCCAGAGTCAGGGTGCAAAGCCTTTGGGTGCCACAGCACCCCAGCACCTGCAAGAAGAAGAGAGCAAGCGTGCAACCATTCCATTTGTTGCCAGCCTTGAAAAAACGGCAGTCTTCCCTCCGTCATCAAAAAGCTGCAACTGTGGGTCATGGACCTCTGGTGGGAGCAGAACAAACAGGACAAATTCTTTTCTCTCGTAGAGGAACTCGGTAATTAATGCTTGTGCCACTGTTGTGTCCCGAGGGCCCTTGCTGCACCAGGAGCACTGTGCACACCCACGTGCAGGCGTGTGCAAACACACGCACACAGGTGCACAAACTGGCCATCTCTACTGCCAGACGCAGTCGTTTGAGGGAGGGCAAGACAGATACTGGAAATCAGCAAGAAATCACGATGAGTGCTCTTCAGAAGAGCTTTGAAGAAGTCCAGAGAGAGAACTTGCAGCATCTTTACAGGTCTGGAAGGAAAGCTTAGATACTTTTTTCCTTGTTGTTTTTGGAGGGACGACAATTACTCGGTGGAAAGAGGTGCATGAATGTGTTTCAGCAATACTGTGTCACTGCACCCACAACTTTTACACACAGAGTAAGTAAAATTAAATGCCCACATCTACTCTTTTATCTGCTGCTGTAAATACACCCATAGCCCCCTTTGCTTAACTCTTTGGAAAGGCAGGCCCATTTTATGCAGGTGCCTCCCTTTACGGACTGAAGTTTTGAACATGAGAAGAAATGTGGGGCTTGGTTTTCTTTCTGTATTTTTCTTATTTTTTCCCTGGATAGGTGGGGTTTCTCCGCAAACCGTGTGGAAAAAGAGAGTTTTATCTTTCACCCTTGAAGTGCCAAAGCCTGGCCTCTCTTTGTGTTGCCAATTCAGCTCGAGCCAGGCCAGGTGAGACCCCTGAAGAGATGGTCTCAGCAGCAGTGCAGGTACCTGTCCAACAGACACCTCCCTGCGTTTCCAGAACTGAGCAGGTTAGCAGCAGCCTAGGTTTCTTGCAAACACTAAGCTCTGAGCTTCATAAAAGAGCATGAATAGGGAGAAAATTATAAATAGTGCTCTTTCAGAGTAGAATCTATGCAAACAAAGAAAAAGAAAAGCTGAAAGCATTTGCATGAGCTCTGGAAGAGCAGGAGAGAATCGAAAATTTGATGAAAAGTTCAAGAAATTATCTTCCCCCCCTAGAAGAAATGAAGCAAAGCTGACATGCTATGGATTGCAAAATAAATTTATTGTGTTCAGTGCTGTGCACCATAGGTGAGAGAAAGAAAAGCCTTTTCCTGTCTTGCCATTTTCTGTGTCTAAAGCAGGCCAGGGAATTATTTTGTCTTTTCTGCTAGTGCACAGGAAAGTAACTCTATTCAATCTTTCCCACTTATCAAAAAGCACCTGATGTCCAAAACCAATCTAGAAATACTTTCAGACCTAAGTGTGCTTTGCTTAAGATGCTTTAGGTGTGTCTACATTTCAAGACAAAGCTAAACCACATAAAAGAAGTGGTTTTCCAAGGCTGTGTGTGGTGCTGGGAGCTTTATGTCTGAATCAATGCAAACCATGAGAAAGGCTCATTTGCCTTTTAAGGACAGACCTTAGTAATTCTGCAGATAAATACCTACCAAACTGAAGGCATTATTGCCAGCAATCAGCTCTCTGAGGTCTATGTAATCGTGGTCTAGAAGACAGTTCCCCATTAATCCTACGAAAATTAGCACTCAGGATAGCAAATATTGCAAGGAAACAGAGAATTCCTCTTTCTGCACTGGATGTCACCTCTGAAAAGTAAGGCTGAGGGACACTGGAGCTAGTTTATGAATAAATGGGTTTTGCACCTCGGGTTTCAGACCTTGCACGCTGGGTCCACAGCACAACTGTGACTGGAGATGCGCTGAAAGCCAAAGGACCCTCCCTATGTTATATGCAAAGTCCTTCCCTGTATTTATCTTTCTGGAAATTGGAGATGAGCCCTTGTCTTGTGCAAGTAGGTGAAATGGTAATTTCTTTTTCTTTCCAGTGACAGGTAAAGGATTCGAATCTAAGATGGTGTTCCTCACATCACAGCTGATTTTAGAAGCAGCCAAGCGACTCTTGTCCTGATAAAACAAAGGAGGAGAACCCCAGCTAGTGCTAAGAGAGGAAGAGACTGCTACGGATTTTCACAGGAGGGAAATTCACCCAAAGAGGTATTTTTCTGTCTCAGAATCAGAAAATAAGGTATGGAGAAAGAAGCCCCAGAGGAAGACCTCTCTGCCCGGGTCACTGACAGAGCACCTAGTCCCCTTCAGATGCAGAGCCTGGCATAACATAGGATCATAGAATCACAGAGCGGTTTGGGGTTGGAAGGGACCTCAAAGACCATCCAGTTCCAACCCCCCTGCCACGGGCAGGGACACCCTCCACTACACCAGGTTGCCCAAAGCCTCATCCAACCTGGCCTTGAACACTGCCAGGGATGGGGCAGCCACAGCTTCTCTGGGCAACCTGTGCCAGTGCCTCACCACCCTCAGAGGGAAAAATTTCTTCCTTATATCTCATCAAAATCTCTCCTCTTTCAGTTTAAAGCCATTGCCCCGTGTCCCATCACTACGTGCCCTTGGAAAAAGTCCCTCTCCAGCTTTCCTGTAGGCCCCCTTTAGGTCCTGGAAGGCTGCAATAAGATCACCCCGGAGCCTTCTCTTCTCCAGGCTGAACAGCCTCAACTCTCTCAGCCTGTCTCCAGAGCAGAGGTGCTCCAGCCCTTGGATCACCAACATAAGAACAAACTTTGCTCTACAGTGTGACCTTCCTAGAAGACACATCAGTACCCAGAGGATGGAGAGCTGCTGAAGCAGAACATTAGTGCACGTGGATGCTGAGATTTGAATTAAGAACAACCCAAACTTGGGCACAGAACGTACCCTGTGTATGGATCTGCCTGGTAAAGCAGGAGAGAGGGAAGAGGCGGCAGAGCAGACCTATTTCTGATCTCAGTATGGTGTGAGCTGAGTACAACTAGGAACACCAACTCAGTTGTCTTGGCTCCAAAGGCTTTCCACCACATACATGGACTGATTATGCTTCTAAAATCACTGCTTCTCTGGAATTAAGATACTCTTTGCTGAGCCAGTCTTTCACACGGACTTTCTCAAGCAACGCTTGCTTAGCTTCTTTGGCCTTTCTAAGGAGACATCGGTCTTGATCCTTCTCTGGAGAGCCTGAACTAGGAGAACAGAGGCAATAGAAGGTGCATGTCATCAGAGGTATGGAAATGCTCCTGGGCAGGAAAGTCCTAGCTACTAATTCACGTTAGAGGGACTCTACCTGCATGCTAAAGGAAGAGGAGGGAACAGGGATCAGACCATATCGGGTATCCCTGAGCTGCAAACCACACGAGGGAAGAGAGGAAAAAAGGGAGTGGAGGACAGAGACATTTGTACTCTTAAAGATGAAGACTGGGGATTTGGGGCTCAGGTACCATCCTGGCTCGACGGTACCATCCTCTTTCAGTCCTTGCATGCAAGGAAGGAGCAAAGGTGGGCTGTGACCCTTTGTGGCTGGCTCTTGCTCTGCGCCAGCTGGAGCAGGGGGATGTCCCTTGCAACAGCTAGGGTCAGGTAGATGCCAAAACAGCCTCTTGCTGCAGCAGCAGAGTGCTGGGCAAAGACACCTCTGTAAATTCAGACTCTGGGGTGGTTTCCTATTGAAAGCAGGCTGCTGGCTCCCTACCGGGATGCGAAAAGGCAGAAGTGTTCACAGAATGCTAAACAGGGGGGAGGGAACACTATAACTTTCCCCTCAGCCCTGCAGCAAGTTGCTCTGGCTGCTGCAGCTTCCTTTGAGGGGCCCTGCCTCTCCGTAGCTGCCGGAGGACTGCAAAATGGGACTTTGCACCGCTGTCAGTCTGGAACAGCGACAAATCCCCAAGCAAACGGAATCTGTTGAAGTCCATAGGCACTTATTCTTCCCAAGGAGAACGTTAAGACTTGAAGCCTTCCCTTGGCACAGTGCCATCCCAACACAGCTTCTGGTGTGCTCACGTCACAGACTGGACAAACAGTACGTTGAGTGAACGGTACGTTGGCTGATGGTAGCTCCTTGCACAGGGAAACGCTTCATCCTCTCACACAACACAAGAAGGAGGGTGAGCTTGCCTGATCTTCACACACAAATGGTGGAAAAGAAAGAATTCCGATGGCTGAACAAAACTGGGATTGCTGGGACAAGTCTTCTCCTTATACCCTGTTTCCATTACGGCTCAATTATTGATGGCAGCAAGGTATGTTCACAGTTGAAAGCCTGCTGGCAGCTGTCAGGACTGCAGATGAGTATCAAAACAAGCAAGGGGCTTTTAGTGCTGAGACAGAGTTTTCTCTCATGTTGGCTAGATCAGAAGATCACCCCAGGTCTCCCCCCCATTCTTCTCCTCTTCCCTTTCCAGTACATAAAATCCCTGACGGTAGATCTTTAGGCACACCTGTCTTAACCCTAGCTCCAGTTCTCCTTCTTGAAAGCAAGTTGCACAGCATCATTCACATCCTGCACTACGTAAGATGCTTTCACCAGGCTGGGGTCAAAGCAGAAGTCCCGGTGGCCATGGAACACCGTCTCCATCGCGTGCTCCTCCGCGCTGCTGGGAACATCTGCGTTGTGGCGGTAGACCCCAGTGCAGACCAGAATCGACTCGCAACTCTCCACCAAACTACTGCAGTCCTTCCTCAGCTCAAGGCGATCCTCAGTTTGGGGACTGGCTGCCTGCGGGCTCCTCTTCACCCCAGCCTGGACCTGGTTCTGGTGAGCTGACTTGAGGTAGCTGTTGTAGAGGTTTGCCCCATAGACATCAGACATAGGGTTATCCCTAGATAAGGTGACAACGTGAAACAGAAATGAGAAACTGGCCCATGCGTCGATTCCCGGCTCTGGCAGACCGGGACTAAGGCAGCACTGAAGGAGGAAGGGGTGCAAGATATTTGCTAACATCAAGAGAACCACTCAGACTGGGCCAGTGAGTCTACTCACTGGTGTGTCCTGTTCAGCCAGGGTGATGGCCACATGCTTCACAAACGTCTTCCAAAGGGGAAAAGACATGTCCCAAGCACCCACAGCAGTTTCAGCCATTACTGTAACGTATTCCCTACAATCCCAAAGTGTTTGGCCTAACTTCTCTTAACTTTTTCTTCAATCCAGCCATGCTACATGCACTGTGTCCTACAGGAACAGCTTAGATAGGCTGATGGGGCCCTTCGAATTATTAAAACCGGGATGTGAGGCTCCGGAGATGCCATGGGGATTTTGGTATTGGTTTTAGAAATACTCATTAGAAAAAAAAACCCAACAAACTCACAAACTTAAGAGAAGACAGTGTGCCACTCCCTAAGGAAACCAGCAGGAGAAACAGTCTCTTACCCAACTGCATAGAGGCGTCGGATGGGAGACGTCCAGCCCTGCTTCTCTGCCTGCTCCTTGATCAAGTGCTCGGCGTAGCGGTAGGTGACCGTGCTGGGTTTGCCGATCAAGGCCTCGTACTTCAGCTCCCGCCCTGTCACTTTCTTGTAGATGTTCTCCAAGCAGAGAAGGAAAGTGCCATGGCCAAACCTGCTCCGGAAAGGAGGTCATCAGTATCACGGGTCACCTCGCTTCAGTAGGAAACGCTCCTCAGCGAGGAGGAGACCACCTGCTGTAGCCAAGGTACTGCCTAGTTTAAAAGCAGTATCCACCCCCACACACCTCCATGGGCAGTGGTCTGGCTTTTCTTCCAGAAAGTTTTAGTTTCTCATGCAGTTTTCATACCTCTGCTGCTAATTATGCCATGCAGTCAAACTCTAATGCTAAAAAATGTAGTAAGAAGATGTCATCTGCAGGAGAGAGGCATGAAACGGGCTGAAACAAATACCACGCATGCTTTTTACCTGGGCATCTTGGCTTCGGCCATCCACAGGAGATCCATGTTGCAGGCGAGGACGGGCAGATGGGGGTACGGAATATCTTGCAGCTCTGCCCCAGGGTTCCCGTTGCTCAGGAGAACATCAATAATAAGTTGCAGGCTTGTCTCCCACCTCACTGGCTCACCAAACAGAATCACCCCTGGAAGATTTCACGAGATGCTTGGAAACTCACAGCGCCCAAGTCACCACCAAAAGCCACCCACTAGCACAGGCACCTCTCTGCTGGGACGCCCAGGCTTATTCAGCTACCGCTGGAACACGGCTGGTGCCAGGGCTCCAGTCTGCATATCCCTGCGCCACTGCTGCCAGGTGTTGGAGCATGGCACAGAGAAAAAGCTGGCTTTGCTCTCATCAAACTTGTGCTTCATGCTGCAGGAGGGCAGCGAGGCTGCGTCCCGACTGCGTCCTCTGAACAAGCTGCCCGTGGATACCGAGGAGCCAACGGCACGTCATTAACTCCCATCCCAGCTGGCGTGCCTTACTGGCGTGCCTTACTGGCGTGCCTTACTGGCGTGCCTTACTGGCGTTTCTGCTTGCTGTTCAATGGTCGCTTACCTTCTATAGTGGGGAAGCCAGTGGTTGGAGGAGGCTGCCAGAAAAAGATGAGGGCTGGGTTAGTAATGCCAAACCGAATGTCGTCTCCAAAACAAAACTAAAAATGCTTCCTTCGAACCTGCCAAGGCAGTCCCATAAAGAGGCAGGACAAGGCCACCTGGTATTCTGAAGAAAGATTTCCCCCACTCCACCATCCCCCCATCCCAGATTGGGTTTCACGGATCTTACACTCCTGTCTCAGGGCCGGAGATGTCAACCAAACCACCTCACCACTCACTGCAAGGAACCGCCACGAAAGACAGGCATGGCACGGGAAAGGAGAGGGGAAGCTCATTGCCCTTCCTGCAGGAGCCAACGCTGGAAAGAGGAGAGAAAGGCTGGCTGCTCAGTACCAGTCCCAGGCTCTTGGGAGAGAAAGTCACTTGCAGCCAGCTGCTCCGTGCCTTTGCAGCTTCTCCACCCCGTGCTGTAAGCACCACCACACCAGACCGCTCGTTCTCCAGGTGCATCAGGAAATTACCAGCTCTTTTGGCCGCCGGCTCTGATCCACCATGTCTAACAGGGGATATGCCTTCCTCAGTGCCTCTATGGTGACCACATGCTTGAAGCCCAGGCTATTTCACACCATCAAGGAAAGTTGTAGACACTGGTTTTTTTAAGTGACTGTTTTTTTAAGTTACTTGCAAAAGCATCTGTAGGATTAAGGAATACAAGTCCCAGTAACAGAGCAGTTATTTAACCTGGTAATGCATAACTTCATGGCTTTCGGTCAACTGTACGTGGTGCTTCAGCCTACACGTGGCCCTAAAGGTTAGGAAAAAAAAACAGACTGGGGCAATTTAGTTTGTTATCAGCAATCCCTGGAATTAGGCAAAGAGCAGAGGCTGCTCCAAGACGGAATGGACACGCTTTGGAGACCTTTGAGGTCAGGGTTCTCACACTGGTGCGGAGCAGGGAACTGGCCAGTCTTCTTGGCTAGAAGCAGAATCAGTGAAGCTCTGGTCAGCTCAACTGGTGAAAAGAAAACGGTCTGTGCTGATAAAACCACGCCAGTGAATGACGAGTTGTATTTGCTTGCAGAACACCTCGCCCCTAGCTCACCCTCCCAGCCTTGGGGAAACTGAGGCAGGCCAAGGTTTTGTACCAAACGAGTGAAACGTTAAGTACAAGGTGTGTCTGTGTGTACAGGCGGAGACGCTGTGAACCCTGCAGGCAGCTTTTCCCTCCTTGCAGACCTGGGATACGTCAGACCTGCTGTGCTCTTGCCTCGGCCAGGCCATATGCATGTGGTGGTGTCATTTAGACCACGTCCCTGCACTGGGACGCTCTGACTCTAACGATACTTGAGTTCCTTGAATTGCTGTCAGATTCCCGGGGAAAATCTTAGCTGGGGGAGAGCTGAGAGCGATCTCTAATCCACTTTGCCACGAAAGAGCGGGAGGAGTGAGAAAGGCCCAAAGCTGGTGGAGTCCTCACGGCGACGTGCCACCAACAGGAACAGCAACCACAGCAGAATTAATCTGCGTGAGAAGCCAAACACAGGACAAGGACACGCAGGAGGTGACCGTGACGGAGACCAACAGTTAGTGCCTGCGTCTGAGCCTCTCCACGAGGGTGCCTCCCCGTAAAACCAGTGACCTTTCTGTCTCCTTGCGCTTCTACGGGCTGACCAAGCCAAGCGCCAGGGGACGGGCAGGGCAGGAGCAGCAGC